TCCTCTTTTTCCTCTCTCCTCTCTCTCCTCTTTTTCCTCTCTCCTCTTTTTCCTCTCTCCTCTCTCCTCTGCTCCTCTCCTCTCCTCTCCTCTCCTCTCCTGTCCTCTCATTCTTTTTCTTAGCTTTCCTCCATGGCTACAGCACTGGGCCGCTCAGCGGCCACAAGCCATTTGGACCAAGAAGCACCGGAGCCACAGCTCAGTGCCGTCCACTCTGATGTCCAGAGGAGTGGGATTGCATTTTTTGAGATGTGATGCCATAGATCACTTTTGTAGCTCTGGCACTGATGCTGCGCTCCCATGGGTCTTTTCTCAGAGAAGTTTCAATGGAAGCTGTGGACGCAGCTGTGGCCTCAGTGTCTTGGCTCTTTCTCTGTACATCTCTGCGAATGGACTAAGTTTCTGCGCGCGCTTTTCCACTGCTTGCACAGGTCACAGGTCATGTCCCTGCTTCTACTGCAACATCGGTACCTTTGGTGCTCCCCAACTCACCACAAAAAAATCGTAGGCCGGAGGCCATCGCTGGTGCTGATCTGGTTCATCACTCGTTGATAACTCAATTTGTGTTAAGATTGGATTTGAGGCTGGGGTGTCTTGTCAAAGGCTCCAATGTCTTTCAGCTTCTAGCTCAAATGAGGCAAGCCTCGCCTGGTTGGCAGTTGCACTGAGGGGCTTGTTGGAGAGTCTTGCGAGGAACATAAATACTGTTCTTCATATTCTTCTAAAGACCACAAAACAAATCCTTGTCCACTCCGGGTTCTCATGCCAACCACCGTGAAAACCCAAAGTACAACCTGTTGTTTCAACAACCACCACCACCACCACCAACAACAACAACAACAACAAGCACAAGCCTGGCTCTGAGGTTGGAAGCCATCGCTACTAGGTTGGAGGCCATCGCTATTGAGTTGGAGGCCATCACTATTAGGTGGGAGGCCATCGCTATTGGGATGAAGGCCATCGCTATTAGGGTGGAGGCCATTGCTACTAGGTTGGAGGCCATCACTATTAGGTTGGAGGCCATCGCTATTAGGTTGGAGGCCATCGCAATTAGATTGGAGGCCATTGCTATGAGGTTGGAGGCCATCGTTATTACGTTGAAGGCCATCGCTATCAGGTTGGAGGCCATCGCTATTAGGTTGGAGCCCATCGTCACTAGGTTTGGAGGCCGTCGTTACTAGGTTTGGAGGCCATCGTTACTAGGTTGGAGGCAATCGCTATTATGGTGGAGGCCATGGCTACTGTGGTGGAGGCCATCGCTAGTAGGTTGGAGGCCGTCGCTATTAGGTTGGAGGCCATCGCTACGGGGTTGGAACTTGGAACCGTCGTCCAAATGGCAAGTCCCACGGAAGCAGAGGAACATGCCGGAACTAAGGGTGAGAAGCAAACGGCATCGCTACTAGTAACAATTATCGCAAAGCAGGCTGGTTGATGTCGCTCGTGGGGAGCTTGAAGAAGCATGAGCTGTCCTGCGTCCAGTTGCTGGTAGCTAACCAGTCGCCCTTACTTAATTAAGTAGTAAGAAGTAGGTGCCTACTTAAATAAGTAAGGACGCAGGGCCACGGGACAAACAAAGTAAAACAACAAAATTTACAAGAAAAACATCTATCCCTTCAGATCAGCCGAGAGGCTGGCGCGATCCTCCACAGGTTCCATGGTGTGGGCGAAACGTTTTTTTTGCGTTGAGGAGCCGTTGAGCCACTGAAAACGCGGGGCCGTCGTTTTGGTTCCCACCCCACCCGAGGTACTTGTCTTAAAGAAGTCTCTCCTTTGACCCGAACAGTTTTATGACGTCTTCGTTCTCTGCTTTCCTTTCTTTAGACCTTTTCTTTGTTCTTTCCGTTTGTTTTTTCTTCCTTCTATTCATTTCTAGAACCAATTCCCTTTTCCTTCCTGCCTCTTTATTGGCACGTTTTGACATCGGATGGCCAGTCGGGCTGTTTCCGGATCGCCTGCAGTGCCTGACGAGCCACGTCTTCCTCGAAGCCCATTTCCAGGAGCCTCGGAGCGACGTGACGGGTAAACCGGTACTAGTAACAAGAAGCTACAAGTAGCAAAGGGCATTACTAGTAGCTAGAAGCTACTAGTAACAAGTGCATCGCTAGTAGTAACAAGTGCCTTACTAGTGGTAACAAGAAGCTATTAGAAACAAGTGCATCGCTACTAGTAACAAGTACATCGTGGTGGACCTCTTCCGTTCTTGCAGTACGATCTTCGACAGCTGTAGTCGAGTCTTGCTTTGAAACAGTGGGCTTTAGCCTTGCAGTGCCATCTGATTGTAAGAAAGGCAATGGCAATGACTACAAGTCGAGTTCCATAAATGCCACACAGGTCTTCCATGCCCACGAAAATGATCGTCTCAAGCTTGATGATGTTGCTATCATGCAAGTTTACACTTGCTTCATCTCAACCCAAACGCAGCGCCTCTTTTTTGACTATGTTCTTGAAGTGACCAGAATGCAACGAAGGTACAAGACCACACCGCCCCGTCGAGGTCCCGACGTCTGCAAACCTGGCGGATCCTCGGTGACGGCTCTCGGCCGTTGGGGTTGAACAGCAACCTGTGTGCTGAGTCATTTGCTCGACCCGAAGTGAACTTGGAGGCACAGCTGTACTAAGTTACGATGTGGGACACCACATACATCCACATACAAAAGCATACAAACACCAAGTGACCAATCCTTGTGGCGAATCCAAGATTCCTTTCGTCCCCACCGACACTCGTCCCAGCCGGCTCGTGCGCGACTCATCTGCCCCGTGCGCTCGTGCTCCATACATCCCATATGGTTCGGAATGAGGTCACCACATGTGGCTAGGAGCAAGGACGCTACTGGGAGCCAGGGGCATCGCTACTAGGAACACGGACGCTACTAGGGGCTCCTGGCCGTACTACTAGGAATAATGTTCACATAGAATTAGAATTAACAATATACAATTAAATCAAATTAGAACTTAATTAGACACACTCGTCTTCTCATGCCTTCTCCAACCGATGGCCTCCAACCTAAGAGCGAGGGCCTCCACATGTGAGAACTGAAGAAATACTCGTCTTCTCCCGCTCATTCTTCTGGAGACGAGACGAAAAGCAGACCAGTTTCATCCAGTTTCCACCTGTTTCTCAGTCCAAGTTGCTGGTTGCGGACCTGTCTTTTGGCCGGGCGCCGCTCATGGACGAGTTTCTTGCCAGTGAAGCTTAGTAGGAAACAACCACGAGAAACTATATGAAACCATCAGTTTTCATCATCTGGCTATCTGGTACTCTTTAATTGAAAGTCTCCACCTTCCCAGCTTAACGGAATGAGGATGCTTTGGACAAGGAGGGCTCTGAATCAAACCGAGTGCAACCCATTTGGTGTTGCCGAGCATCCGCCTGAGAGCAGTAGAGGTATGTAGAGGATTTGACAAAAAGAGCAAACCCTTTCAGTCTCTGATTTTCGGGCTTCGGACCCAATGAACACGGTTGTCAAGCATCGACTATGCCGACTATGCACCAGCTTCGACTATGCCCCCACCCCAGAGTTAGGGTGGGGCAGACATGGCGCCCAGCCGCCTGGCCTCGCGAACGCTCCTGGTCTCCAAATGGCAGAAACGGGCGACAAAGCCAAGTATTTTCGGAAGAAATAGAACCGAAAAGACAGGAAGGAAGGTTGAAGAAAGGTCAAAAGTCGAACAGTCCAAGAAAAACACATGAAAACAAAGAAACCAACACAACAAAAACTAGAAACACATGACCATCTCTTGTCCGACTTCGGCGATCAAAGGATTTGGTTTGGGTTGCCAACGACTTCTGACAAGTAGAGGTTCTGTTCACCTTGTTGTCTGTTCGGTTCTTGAAACTAGAGAGAGAGAGAACCCTACGGAAATTCAATCCAGTTAGCTTCACCGCACGCAGAGGCGTTGCCGAGCTTTCTTACACGCCTTTGCTCGAAACCCAGACAGAACTCAACAGCTGCGATCAGAACCAAGTCAAAGTGACAACCAAATGCACATGATCTCTTGATGACCCTTGTCAGCCCGCGTCAGTTCACCTGCCACCTGCCGCGATCTCCACCGCAAGTCCCCAGGACACTCTTCCAGGACGACGAGAGCGGGGTCGTTGGCGCTCCTGCTGCGCCGTCTTCATGGACGCAGCGAGGGCCCGTTGCAGCTCCATCTCCTGGCGGAGGAGGGCAACGCCTCGTGTGGAATCCATCTTCTTGGGGCGTGTCCTGGGGCGTCTTCCCTTGTTTAGTAAGGCCAGGAGCTACGTTCGTAGCTTCTTGCTACTGCTAATTTAATAGTCATGGCCTCCAACCTAGTAGCTTCTTGTTCCTAATTCTTCCGCCCGTCTTCCAGCAGAACGCGGCAGAATGCAGCGGATCCTGCTTGGAAGACAAAGAACTTCTGGCTTCGGAACAGCGGACGGTCGCGCTTCATGGGTTCGGTCGCGCTTCGTGCGGCACTGACGTTCGAACACCCAAGCGGATGATCTGTAGAGACTGCCGTGCTAAGGACGTCAGAGTAGAGCGTGGGTATAGTGTGGTAAGGTGAGAACCATGACCTCCACCCTAATAGCGATGGCCTCCACCCTAGTAACATGGGCATGATGGGTAAGGGGTACGTACATTGTTTGTGAGGCAACGACTGCAAGGATTGATGTGAAATCCAACCCGCCCCATGGCCATGCATGGCCATCCATGGCCTTCAGCCTGTTCGAAACTTCTTCCATTGAAAAGCTCAATGCCACCTAGGCTTGGGACTGTGGGATGATGCGTCCATGTTCCCCGAATGACCTGTAAGAAGCCATACACCGAGACAGAAGAGTTCTCAGTGTGACATCGTCCTGAGATGAACCCAGCTCTCTCAGCCTTCAACAGACCCGGCTCCCAGCTTCTCATCCTAAAAACCTTAAAATATCTTAAAGTCCTTGTCAAATGGACACTTTTGTATTCTCATCTCCTAGGAGCGAGCACGCTACTAGGAGCAAAGGGCATCGCTACTAGGAGCAAGGACGCTACTACAGTAGATGGACCAAATATTCAAACCCCTGTATCAATAACTGTCACCAACCCCTGACCCCCAAAGGTCAATGTTGAACACAACTTGATTGAATTTGTGTTTCCAGGGTTTGATTTGTTTCGTCCATTGCCGAAACATTCTTGCAAGACCTCTAACATTGAGCTTTGGGGTAGAAGGGGTCCACGTGGTTGAAAGGGTTTGAATATTTTGTCCATCTACGGTAGGGGCTCCTGGCATCGCTACTGAGAGCAAGGACGCTAGTAGCTCCTTCTATCTCTTCCGCATCTCTTCATCTCCCCAGCTCAATTTGTCCTCCTCATCTTCCGCAACTTCTGCGCCGCCCTGGCTGCGGCGCTCGCTGCGCTCGCCTCGCTCGGGCGGCGCAAAGGAGGTGCCGAAGGCGTCCTTCGCGGCGTCCTTGGCCACGGAGACGCCTCGGGGCCCCACGCGGCGCGACACGCAGCGTTCGGCAAGCCTCGCGGGTGGAACTGAAGGTTGTGGAGAGCAATCCCACAGCCAAGGACTGTAGAACTTCCCAGTACAAGACACTCCTTGTAGACCTGCAGAACCAAGGACTTCGCTGATCCCACACCGTTACCCTCCAACCCATCCGCTGACCACGGTACAGAACGACAACCACAGATGTGAAGAATCGACCACAAAATCTCACAAATCGGACTCACACCTGCAGGTATTACAAACACCAAATGCGTGTGAAAACCACCGGTATGTCTGTTTTCGTGCCACCTTTTCACCCCGGTGATACTTGGTGTTTTTCCCCCCGAAACGGACTCCGTCTTCCGTCTTCCGCTCGCGGGCTCTCGGCGTCCGCGCCGTACTTCGCCGTTTTCGCCGCCTTGGTCGCTGCCGTGGAGGCCGCCGCCATCCCTGCGGCCGTGGCCGCCGCAGCGCGGTCCTGTCGGGGTCGTCAGAGGGAGATGGAGATGTGAAGAGCTCCAAGACGTGGCAAGAGCTCAAGAGCTCCTTTGATTTCATATCAAATCACCTTCCTTCAACTTGAAAAAGACCTTCCGTTTCCACGCTCCCCGGGTCGACCTCCAGCTTTGGCAGCCAGAAAGAACATCGACGAAAGTCAAGACGCGGAGTCAGAAAAGCCCCCCCCAGTCAGGAACACGATCCGTCTTCCGGCTGAGTTTCCACCTCTTTTCACGCATCGACGCGACCGGAGGCTTTCGTTTCCCCCGTCGAGCCATGTCGAGATCGTGGAGAGCCGTCCAACGGCGCCTTCATCTTGCTGAGCATCCCGGAGCTCCTGCTGCCCTGCCGGGAAAGCACCGGGTACTGAAAGCGCCCAGTTCGGATCCACATGGAACGTGTCCATGTTTCAGCGCAAACGTACCGGCGAATCAACAGAGGGGAGAGATGAGTACACAGAAAAGCCAACACGTTTGGACTTGTTCCTCTACGTCTTGGATTCTTGTAAAGCCACAAAATGTGTTGGTTGATTGTTTACGCTTGCATGAGGAATGCTGTGTGAGACCTGCAAAGCACCAGACCACGGGATTTCTGGAAGGATCATTAACCGTTCTTGGGGAAAGGGACTGCCAGGTGAATACTTGCCACATGACTTCTTTTTCTGTTGAAGAACAAAGGGAGCAGCAAAAGCAAGCAACAACATGCGATACTCAGAAAGCGACAAGAACAACCGGGTAAAGCCCGGATAGATGGTGAAACACCGCTGGAATCGGAATCGACAGAACACCGCCTCGCTGCCGCTGGGGCGTCCGGTGCCGCTGGCGGAAAGCCGAAAGGCCATGGTTTTGGTGGCGGGAAACTCCTGTGGAGTGCCTCCAACCTAAGAGGAAAGAATCTGTGATGGATCATGTTTTAGCAAGAGAACAGCGGACGTCGGCACAGTTGGACATTGTTCTTTCCTTGTTCTTGTGGGTTCCGAGCGGATCGAATGGAGCTCATCGGCTTTGACGGCGGCTCGCAGGACTTCTAATGTAGCCAGTAGAAAGGCACCTTGCTACTAGTAGCGATGCACTTGTTACTAGTAGCTTCCTGTTACTAGTTTAATGTAGCCATAATTTCTTCATGCCAAAGACAACTGCTCACGGACTCATCTTCCGTGAGGTTCATGGAAGAAAACTCTGGATTTTTGCAAAGCATGGAGACTCTTCAATCGCAGCACATGCTTTCAGCCATCTTGAGCCGATTCGGTTGCTTGGCGCTCTCCGGGTATCTTTTTCGTTTACCGAAAAAGGGGCGCGTCGAAGACGGTCACGTTCGGAAGTCACGTTCAGGTCATTCGACATCGACCACTGGTGGTTTCAAGTGATCTTTCGGTGCTTTTCCCTCCACACGGACGGCACCGACGTTCGTCAGGCACTCGATGTGAACAGCGCCTTCCCTGTTTACTCACCCTTCCTCTGTGGTGCTCGATCCGAACTTGGCACTGGTACCCGATGTCGATCACCACACACAGCGAAGGAGCCAACAATTTGGAAGGTGTCCTTAAACTAAGCCCCCGCGTGTCAGAACGTCGAACCCAGCTGTCCATGCACAAACGCCCTTGGCGAATGTTCCAAAAAAAATTCTTCGCTAGTAGGTTGGAGGCCAAGGTTGGAGGCCATCGCTCCTGGGTTCTCTGGTTCTCATCGACCCTGGTATACGCGCCACCTCTTGCCGGTGAGCGTATGGAGCACCTGCAGGTCGAAGCTGTCCTGCAGGTCGTTCTGTTCGGAACTGGTTTTTCGCCACATGAGCCTCTTCATTTTGGGTTCAGCGTTCCCGGATTGGTGAGGAGATGGAAGTAGAAGTCCCAATGACATGAAGCTCCAAGCAAAAAACGCGATAGCCTCCGAGCTACCAGCTGGAAGTGGAAGTCCCATGAAAAAACCCCCAAAACCATCAGAACCCCAAATTCTTGGGACACCACGGGATGTCCACCACGGAAGCTTCCTTTTTTGGAGGGATTCGTCATCTTCCCCATCCTTAGTCTGTTTTTTTTGATGCTAATCGCTTAGGCACGGTTAAGGGGGAAACAGCTGAAGGCTCTATATATTTTGCTGGGAACTGGAAGAGTCACAAGAAAGAATGTCACGACTCCATTTTGGGCAGCAAGTCAAACAAATTCAACGGGTTTTCAACAATAAGCTACTATAGGAGCAATGTTCGCTACTAGGGGCTCCTGGACTTACTACTAGGAGCAAGGACGCTACTAGGGGCTCCTGGCATCGCTACTAGGAACGATGTTCGCTACGATAAACAACCTACTTCTTTCAGCTTCCGTCCTCACTTTAAACGTCGTTGTTCATAATTGCTCAGCATGGAACCCTCGATGAACATGTGAAGTTTATGGAAGGAGACGATTCCATGACAGCCAGCACCGCTTTCGCGAGATGGAGCCTGCACCAAATTCAAATGCAAAACAGAACGCAGTCCACTCCTCTGCTCGCTTCGAACGCTTTCGACAGCTCGGAATTCCGGAAGATCTCCCTGTTCACACGAAGGTGGCTCAAAACCTGGAGCCCTTATGCTTTGGGGATTTCTATATTATATACCACAAACAAGTAACAGCGGATGATGATGATGATGATGATGATGATGATGATGATGATGATGAACAAATACTGTTCCACAAAATAGTGATCATGCTTCACCAACCCTGGTTTAGACTGGAATACTGGGTGCGTTACCCTATCTATTCTGTTCATTTGGTCCACCAAGGTCTCCACCTTTTGACCCGCATCTCCCACCCGCCTTTTGAAAGCAACAGGAGATCTTTTCCTCCGGAAGCCGCTCTACAGCCTGAGACCAACTGAGCAGTGTGAAACCCGGAGACGGAGCAGCGCGTCTGACATTGGCCCAAGAAACAAGTCTTGAGATTGTCAAACAACCATCAATCTGCAAACGGGGAATTACTGCGACGTTTTCGTTTTGAGAACCTATGCTCAGTCTGGTTTACTTTCGCAAATAGCAAAGGGCATCGCTACGAACGGAGCGATCGGACGCAACTAGTAACAAACGGCATCGCTACTAGTAGCTCCTGGTCGACCTGCTGACCTCCCACCTGTTTTGCCGCGTAGTGTTCGCCCTTTCGGTGCACGGGAGGTGCCTCTTCTGCAGTCAATCTGTCGGGTCATTTTGTGTCACGGACCATTGCTACTAGGTTGAAGGCCATCGCTAGGTTGGAGGAGGCCATTACTACTAGTAGCAAGGGACTGGGTTGATGTAGGCCTTACTAGGTTCGTAGTAGGAGGCCATTACTACTAATACTATACTATTATAGGTGGATGTCCAAGGTTGAAGCTCTTCGCCTCGATCCTCACATCCACCTCCACGAAGGCCGACTCCGCCTGGCGTGGGGCGGCGGCTTAGGCCTTCAGTCGCTTAGGGCGGATCGCGACCCTCGGCTGGGCGTGGGAAACGTTGGGTTCATCAGGAGATGCTGTGGGTCTTCGGCAGGTTGGAGGCCATCGCTACTAGGGTGGAGGCCAGGCCTCACGTTCTTCGGGACACGCCGGTGCCACACCTGAATAAATGCCGGAACACTTCTCAGATTTCCTTCGGATGGGCCTAGGGGGACAACGGACGAAGCGAAGATGGGCGACACCTGGATTTGACACGTGGGCCGATTCCGTTTGGTCCCATTGATCAAGGCGCAAGTGACAAAGACTTTAAAAGATCAAACATGTATCTGTACAACAAAGTAACGAAGATATACAAAGATGTATATGATAGATTCCCCTATCGTTCATCTAGGATCAAAAGAGTGCCGTGGCCTAGCAGGGAGAGTCCGATCGCTCCCTTCGTAGCGATGCCCTTTACCTGCTGCGCGCGCGTTGCAGCGCGGGGTGCTCCGCATCTTCTGTTTTGGGGCGCTCTCCCCGTTTTCTTTCGTGGCACAGCGATGCCACCGGGGGCGGATGGGTGAAACGCTGCGGGGGAGTTCACGTGGACCGAAGCTGGAGTTTCCTTTTTGGAATGTTGTTTATTGCAATTTTTGGTCAGAAGTCAAAGACTCAGACAATATCATGGCAAATCCCTTGAAGTTGCTGGTTCTTTTATGCAACAGTCCTGATGCCTGTCCAAATCACGTGATCAACTTGTACCCAAATAGCCCGCAGCTGCTCAGAGATCGTATCTGCATTCTGCAACCTGGCAGGTCGAATCCCATCGTCGGACGTGTCATCGTTGGATCCTTTTCTGCGGTCACCCGTTGGACGGGATTTGGGACGCAGGATGACGCAGGCGGTGCAGTGGATTTCGGTCCGAAGTTCGAAGGCTTGGGAAAACCCGCACACCCCGAGATCGGAGATCCGAGTGGACAAAAACACATGAAAAAACCCACTTTGCTCAGGACAAAGCTGAGCGAATGATGAGTCTTGACAATATCATTTCCTGGTTGCCAAAGCACCTCTTCATGCCAAGAGGTCGTTTCTTTTTCCGGGAAAATCGGTTCTTGCAAATCGAGGAAATAGGGTCAAACGCCAGTGGAACCTCGAACTCAGAAGGCCCAGGAACCATTTGGAGGCCATTGCTACGAGTAACAAAGGGAATCGCTACCAGTAGCATGAATCGAAACTACTAGGGGCGCTCCTTTCCTTGCTACTAGGAGCAAGAAGCTACGAACGTAACAAAAAACTATGGACACAAGGACGCTACTAGGATCGCTACGAGCGGAGCGTTCGGACGCTACTACGCGCGGGTGGAGGCCATCGCTACGCACTCAGAAGGCCCAGCAACGCGAAACACGGAGCCCAGGCTCTGGCTGTTGGTCACGCGAACACAGCGCTTCGAAAAAACACGAACCCGGAGGAATCCCGACAATGGCCTCGATGAGTCGTCAAGACAAACATGCCAAAAGACCCACAGGTGTTGGTCCAGATCCAACCTCTTTCAGTGAAACTCCCTGGGTTCCAACAAAGCAAGCAACAGCATGGATCTTGGATTCTTTTTGTTTCGTATCGCTGAGCGCAAGCGGCATTTCCCAGTGTTCACCGGAAACTGCCCACGGCACCGTCGCCGCCGCCGATCGCGGCCTGCATGGGTTGTGGCACACCACGAAGACCCACGAAGTACTTCTTGAGCCTGTGAGATCTTCTTGGATCCAGGAGCCGAATGAGTGAACTCGCGCTTCTTCAAGGAAGGCTCTCCTCCCTTTTTGCTCAGGGAGGAGCCTTACTTGAAATCAGGAAGGGCGGGGAGAGGGCCTTTGCGGGCTGAACAAAAAGAAGTTCTGTATCTCCGTCCGACCCGAGGAGTGTCCACTCCGAGACGGTCTCGATTAGGAACGTCCTGACCCTCACGATGTCTCCCTTCGAACGATGGCGAAGGGTCCGATGTCCGGAACGTGTGACACAGGTTCGACCAAATTATAATAGTATAGATGATCATATAAATAGATTGTAATAGTATATAGATTGTTCTCCAATTATAGCTTATATATTGCACCAATGACACACAGTTGGAGAAAGGGACTAGCGCTCCCCAAAGAAACCCGTCAACCCGTCGATGACACGACGCAGCCGAAGTCTGGCCGTCGATGACGGCTCCGAAGGTCTGGCCTTGGTGGGTTCGTGCCACGGCTGGCCGTCGTGTTGGTGGCCACGTCCTGGAGCGGAAAACAAAGCGGCCACACGGGCTACGTGACGTCCGATCTGCGTGACGATTGGAAAGCAGCCCAAACACCGAAAAGGATCAAGAAGTTTCTTTTCCTCTTGGAACCACAGTCAAACACCATCATCAACCCATTGATCGAACGATGTTTCTGTGGTCATTTCGATGTATGCGCCTTGGGCAAGTAGACCT